GTGTCCGTGTGTGTGTGTGTGTGTGTGTGAGAGAATAGCAGGACTGATGCTCCGGAAGAGAGAGAGAGAGAGAGAGAGAGAGAGAGAGAGAGAGAGAGAGAGAGAGAGAGAGAGAGAGAGAGAGATTGGAGGAATGGCAGGGCTAACTTCCAGCAACTTTTCGATGAACCAGTCTGTATCTGAATGGAAGAGTCTTCTAAAGTAAGGCAGGTAAAGTACAAGGAGTGTGATTGAGCTCATTGGAGATTAGTGAGCATTGGTCTTTGCTTGCCTTGACAGAGTAGAAGGTATAGAAGAGGGGATGATAATCATCCATTTCTCCCGTCAGTACGGATGAGAAGGAGAGTCCTGCGTCGGCTTTGGCTACTATCTGTGTTGTTTAATGTTGATGTAACTTGTGAAGCGGTACATAGTTGCCTAGAACAGACTAGATGATGTATGGACCTAACAGAGGGAAGATCTTGCTGACAGTGGGCAGTTAGAGGCATAGCGTTGAGGCTTACCCATTAAAAGTTCTCTGCTGCCCCTTGGCTGGAGAAGAAGTATGGGTTGCAGCATGTGCTTGTACTTTGATCTTTATGTATATGGGACGCTGGATTCATTTATAGTACGTAGTGCTTCCCATGAATAGATGGAGTCATGAATTGAAAAAAAAAAAAAAAAAAAAAAAAAAAAACACCATCCTCTCCAACACTGTTCCTGCTAAAAAAAGGAAATTGAAAAATTGAAAGCTCGGGCCCTTCAGGGGAATAGTCCTCCTGACATGGACTGAAAACTACCCTAAAAAAAAAAAAAAAAAAAAACTACCTTCAAGTTTTTACCCTCTTCAAATTGTTACCCCGATATTGAATGCAACTTAGTGCAACTTTCAAGCCAGATACAGATATAGGGACTCGCTGCACTACTCTAGATTCGAGCTTTTTCTTGAGTGCGACATGGCTGCAGTTACTCTATAAATGGGCGCTTGAAAACCTGTTCTAGAGCTGTCAGACCGACTCTAGAAAAGTAATAGACTCGTCATCGCTCCTCTCACTCGATAAGTCCTCCAGATTTTTCATTTCTTGAGCTGTCAGAGCGGGTCGGTCCTTCTCACTCTAGATTTATCTAAAGCCCCAGCCTGCAAGGGCCATCTTTTTTAGGGAGGTCCGGAGGACCCTTGACACACCTTAATTTTCCTAGAGTGGGCCTTGAGTCTGGATGGACAACCCAGGCTGCTGCTGTCCTATAGTGAATAGGCCGAATTCGGAAAGTGTCGGAGCAATTCTAGCTTCTTCTTTTTTTTTTTTTTTTTTTTTTTTTTTTTTTCAGTGGAAAGCCCTTGTAACATCCCTCTATCTCAGCGGTGGTACGAGAACCGCCAAAATTGAGGGCTTGCCTGTCGGGCTGCTAGTGGGGTCCAGAGCTAGTGCGGCGATGCGTAGGTTTTAGGACTTTTCGTGACTCTCACAGCTCTAGAAAGACTCTACAAATTTTTTACAAGTCTAGAGTAGTGCAGCGAGCCCCATAATTAATGACAGGGCGGCATGTTCAGGGGAAAAAGGTACCCCAAGGCTGTCCCTAGCGAGGTCGCGGCCCCTGAAAAAACAACAGAGAAAAGAAAAGAAAAGAAAAGAATGCACCATGATGGACCCATTTTCCAGCAGGTGAAGCTCCCCACCAATAGATGGAGCCTCTCTCTGAGTGCTACCGTCTTCCCCCGAAAACAAGGCACCCTAAAAATGAATGTATACAAGCTATATTTCCCTCCAGATACAGTCAAAATGATGGTGCGTTGTGTTTGGGGGAAGACGGTAGTGGTACCTGCTTTTATCAGTACCAGTAGCACTGCAGGGGGTGTTTAAAGTTCGTAAGAAAAAAAGAAAAAAGTCTGCAACATCAGCAGGGCAGTCTAGATCTTGCACCTGGCTCTCCACTGCTTTGGGACCGTCCTTTTTTTTTTGGAAAAAACTACGGCGGAGTCCGGGGACCAAGTCCCACTTGCAGCGGTTTAATCCTCAGTTCGGGACCCTGTGTTTTGTGCGACACGTTTCCTGACCGCTGATTCACATTGATCATAGGGCGCATGGTCGGTTATGTTTTTCTTCGAACAGAATGGATTGAATGTTGCTATGTAGCGGTTTCCCATTGGCTGTTATAGTCGGAATGAGCTCTTTCACTCGCAGGGAACGGTCCTCGTCCGTAGCCTGACCCCAGTCGGGCTAGACGTGGGGACCGTCCATCGTCTTGTATTTCCACAGAAACTAGAAGTTTTTCCCGACAATGCCGCTGCCATACCCTTGGTTACCAGACTGACCG